GGTATATGCAAACTGTCCCAAGTTAAACAAACGAGAACATTCCCTTGTCAAGATCACTATAAAACTACAAGGCTTTTTATTGAAAATGGAAATCAAGAGGGGTTTTTGAAGGTTTTAAATTTACAGTCAGATAACTCTTAACCCAATTACTTTGTTCACCACTGTAACAGAATACCTCACAGATGCAGCTTGGAATAGGAATGGTTTATTTTAGCTCACAGTGTCCTGGAGGGGAAGGAACACTGATATTCATGTAGAGAAAGGGATCTTATCTGTGGTGGTAGGACTTTCAGGGGACTTTCTCACATCTCTCTGGTGGGTTTCCATGGTCCACTTGATGCAAAAGTCCTCACCTACTAACGCCCCACAACTTCCTCAAACAGTACGACCAAGTGTTTAAACACAGAAGACTGTGGGGATCATTTCATATGCAGACCTTAACATTCTGGGTGTGATGCCTCTAAGCATATTGTTGTGTTTAATATAAATGGAGCAATGAGGCCCACAAACCTATTGCCAGGATCATATGAAGAGGCAGGCCCTATTGTTTTAAAATGCAAATTCAGTGACTTTGCAGGTATAAGGAAAGCTAACAGATAAAAAAGATTACTGCCAATGAAAAGGGAGTTTCTTTTACTCACAGTACCAAAGAGGAGGAAAAGGAGACTCTGGGAAAACCTGGAGTCAGTCAGGAGGCAGAAAGAACCAGAGAAAACTGTGGGGAGAAGCACCTTGACTGCTGTCTTCATGGAATGATTTAGGATTGGATAACTTTACTTGTATTGGCAAACTCTGGGTCAGGGACAGTCCTTTTCTACTTATTACCTGGTCATGGGTCGGGGCAAGAGGCTCATGGCCTAAAATTTCCTAAGGGCCATGTCTTAGTCAGTTTTCCAATATCTTGACAAATATCTTTTGTCAACAGCTTACAAAGATAGCTGTGGATGATGGTTTCGGCCCACAACTGCTTGGCTTCTCTGTAGTGGTCCTGTGATGACTTAGAGCATCATGGCTGATGAGTTTAAAGGAGCAGAGTTTCTTCTCTCATGGAAAAAGAGTAAAAGAGAGGAAAGGGAAAGAGAACATCAGCTTTCTTACACTTTTATTCCATTTACACAGCAGCCTATGGGGAGATGATGATCCCTTTAGTTTATCAACTGGGGAAATATCTTCACAAATACACCTGAGGTCCAATCAAATTGACTGTAAAGCTTAACGACCCCAGGTCCTGCAAAAACCTGAGATTAAGATGAAGACAGTTACTATGGTATTGATTTTGGATATGATGGTTTGTGTAGGAAAGGCATGCTTGTAGGTAAGTCCTATTTGCTATTTCTAGGAATTGAGTGTTTCAGAGGACAGCAGTCTCTCCTTGATAATCACTGAAGACCCCAGGTGTCAAATATGAGAAAAATAGAAAATAACAAGCATATATTAGCAAATACAACTCCTTACATGCAAAGATCTATAATTAATAACTTCTCCACATTTGCAGCATTATTTTATGTAGTGCCTACAGTATGCTAGACTGTGTTGGCAATAGGCAAAAGGGAGACTTTCAAATGTGGTCGCTGCCATCACTAGGTTCATAAACTGATAAAGGAAACAAGCCAGAAACAATGATTTGGTCTCAGATGGTATGAAAACTCAACCGAGAGCTGCTGCAGTACCAAGAAGCAAAGCCGTCCACCAGAAAATCCTAGAAAAGAAACAGACTCAGTAGTTTTTCTTAAGTTTCTTTGTTATGACAAGAAAGGAGAGGAAACTAGCACCTAGAGCTTAAGCAACCTGGAATTTCTGACGTGCTTTTGTTGATCACAGCATTCCTTTGAGCAGAAATGTTTCTAGGCTGTTGCTAAGGAGCACACACCTGCATTTGGAAAGCCCTCTTCTCTGTCTGGTACTATGGAGGAGCTGCTAGAAACGTGCTAATTTACATTGTTGAACCTCAACAACAGGGAAAGGTCAGGCCCTATGGTGAAGCCAGCCCTTCTTCAAGTCCCTCCAGTGGTGAACATGGAATTCACAGCTTGGGAAAGAATTCTTGGTGCTACTGGCTTCTCTCTAAGGCTCGCTGGGGACAGTCCAAAAATCTTCTGAATTGTTCTTTTGACCACTACTTTCTTGAAAATCTCTTTTATCTCTCATATCAGTCAGTTCCTTAAAACAAAGCTGAGAATTGTATTCCCCTCTAAAAACAGAATTTTTTGTCTACAAGATGAAATGTGGACTTTTAGTTATGACCCAACCAGCTCTTAACAGTCTAGACAATCTCATCCCAATCTCCTTTCCCTGATTTTCTCCGAGACTTCCACTCTCAAACTAGCACTTTCCATGTGGTTTTGTCTTAGCTCCAGCTGACCCCTTTACCTGAGGTATTCTGTATTATCTACATCAACATCTACAAATCCTAGAGCAGGTGGCCCTCTTTTTAGAACCCTCACCCAATTTCCCAGCAGTGATTGATTTACTGGCATCTGAGTCTTCTGCCTAAGTGTCTTATACCATAGTGATGAATATAGATTATTGTATACATATATTTCCACAGTTGTCATATCATTTGAAATCACATTCCCTCAGGAACAAGGATTGTATTCTTTTTAAAAAATATTTTATTTATTATTTTTATTTTATGTGTATGAGTGTATTGCCTACATGTAACTGAGGGCACCCCTGTTGCGCAATGCCACAGAGGTCAGAAGAGGGCCTCAGATTTCCCTAGAACTGGAGTTAAGGACTGCTCATAGCCACCATGTGGGTGCTGGGAATTGAACCCAGGTCCTGCAAGAGCAGGTAATGCTCTTAACTGCTGAGCCATCTCTCCAGCCCTGATGATTGTATTTTTTATGTTTGTATTTCAATTGCTCATCAAAATATCAGAGAAAAACCAACACCAGAAACAGTAATAATAATACCTAATACCTGATCAATTTTCGTGGGTTGGTAGGTAATATTCTAAGTTCTTTATCTATATTAACTTTTATCCTCACAATTTGAGGATTGTGTGGTATTGCCATGTGCAGTTTACAAATAATGGAGGATATTGAGCCACAGAAAGGATGAATAATTTCCCCAGTGTGACACATAATGCAAGTTAGGTATGTCAACTTTTAATTAAAATGTGGCAAGCCACTTATCCCTTCCCTGCTTTCTTTCTGACAGATTCATAGACAAGACACAGGTTATTGGTCTTTGATAAGCAGGTCGAGTTGGGAAGTATACTAAATAAGACTCTTTTAGAAGTTTTTGTTCTGAAATAACAAAAAATGAGTTATTTTATTTCTTTTCTGAAAATGTACTTAAAAATCAGTAGGAGTAAGAACACAAGATATAAAAGGTTAAACTATTTTTTATGTTCTCGAATTTTTTTTTTTTTTTTTTTTTTTAGTGAGACGGGATCTCCCTGTAGTCCCAGCTTAACTGGGACTCACTATGTAAACCAGGTTGACCTTAAACTCACAGAGATCCACCTACCTCTGCTTCCCAAGTGCTGGGATTAAAAACATGTGTCACCATGTCCAGCTCAAAATGTATATTTTAAGAAAATTACTAAACCTGTGACCCATCTGCCCATAGATATCAATGGGCTATATTATAATGTGTTTTGTAGGTGAATCTCTCTAGAAGTTTATGTTCATATATACATCTCACTGTTAGTTAGTACTCCTTCACAGGCAGCATAAATTAAGTTGCCAGTGCTTACAGCTGGGGTCATTTCCAAAGAATAATATTTTAAAGAAATTGTGTGTTAGGCTGTAGAAATGGCTGAGCTATTATTAAAAACACTGGCTGCTCTTGCAGAGGAACTGGGTTCCATTCCCAGTATGCACATGGCAGCTAACAATCCTCAGTAACCCCACTTCCAGGGGATCTGATGACCTCTTTGAGCTTCTGCAGGCATTGAACATACCTTGTGTACCTACTTACATAGGCAAAACAGCCATACACATAAAGTGATAATAAAAAATAAAAATACAAAAAATAAATTAACTATGAAAATATATTATGTACTTATTTTTGTTCTTAGAATAATATTTTCGTAAAGTATTTATACTGTGGGACCAATCTGATGATCTCTAAGTCCAGGTTGTACACTTCCCACCTCTTGCATGTTACTTCTCTTATGATTCTTCATCTGCAGAGGGGAGACAACACTACCTACGTCAAAGGAGTGATGTAAACATTGAAAAGGATCCTAGCTAGTGTCATGGCAACCCCGCAGTCACAAGACAACTTATTTTAAATTGCCTGTTCTAGCCTAACATGGGAGTGCACACCTGTAATCCCAGCACTCAGAAGGCAGAGGCAAGCATTTATCTGTGACATACAGGTCAGCCTGGTCTACATTGTGAGTTCTAGTCGAGCTGGGTCTACAGGACCCAGTCTCAAAAACACCACAGCATAATAAATAAATAAAAATTAAAAAAAAAATAAAAGTGCCCACTCTCAGTCAATGATTTTCTGTCACCAATTTAAAATTTTTACTACTTTTTAACAGGACACCTTGCATTTTTACTTTTCACTAGACCCAACAAATTATGTAGTTTTTCCTGAATATCATTATGTATGAATTCCATAGCCTGTAGCACCAAGCACCTAGAATACCATTCAATGAAATGCCACTTATTACTAATTTTGCATAGAAGCTTTCAGTTTGCTTTGTAGAGTCCCTGAATCCCATTTCCTGTAATGAAGGGAAATATGAAACCCAACTTGGACAGATTATGTGGATACTGTCTCTGTGTTCTACTTCTCTGTGATTAAATGTCTGATTTTATGCAGTGGTGATTGCTAATTTTGTGTGTAGAAATATTTCTTCATATAATTAATGGATAAAATAGCTCAGCAGGAGGTATTACTTTTGCTCTTTACAAGGGATATTGAATTTCAATTTCTTTTATTTTGACTGATACTGACCTTAGCTGATATATCACTGGCATTGCTTTAGAAAGATATTTGAAGGACTAATACGATTTTTGTTTGCTTCCATTGTTTTTCAGATTGTTTGAACTCCAGAAGGACCAACACCAGATAAATTATGAATGTTGAACAAGATGACCTTACATCCACAGCAGATAATGATAGGTCCTAGGTTTAACAGGGCCCTATTTGACCCCCTGCTTGTGGTGCTGCTGGCTCTTCAACTTCTGGTGGTGGCTGGTCTGGTGCGGGCTCAAACCTGCCCTTCAGTGTGTTCCTGCAGCAACCAGTTCAGCAAGGTGATTTGTGTTCGGAAAAACCTGCGGGAGGTCCCGGATGGCATCTCCACCAACA